TTTCTCTGACCCTCTACTTTATGTGTATATTTCAATGCGAATGACTTATTTTTATAAAACTAAGTCCACTTTGATCCTTTTGGGTGCTTATCAAGGGATAAAAGTGTTTTAAAATGTTGACCTTGAGATAGGTCATAGTCATAACTTCTACTTATTGGCATAGGTTTCCTTCATTTTTATTCAAAAACTAATTTTGCCTTTATACTAAGTTTTAGGGTTATTTCTGACCTCCTGAGAGAAACAGGGCGATTTTATTTTTAACCATCATTCTAATTATGTAGCTATTTCACACATTAACCTGTATGTTTATATGAGTAGACATGTGTTTATATACATATATGTGTGTCTGTGGCAATGGCAACAATTGTGAGGATGGCATAGGACTGGGCAGTGTTTCATTCTGTAATTCATAGGGTCGCTATGAATTGGAACTGACTTGTAGGCACCTAACAACAGCAAAAATGTGATGATTTGCTTCCCAAACCAAAACCAAACTCAACTGCTATTGAGTCAGATGTGACTCATAGTGACCCCTCTTTGGGTTTCCTAGGCAGTATGTCACTCCTCGGAAGGAAGGTTAGGCAATCTACTTCCGTAGTGATACTGCCTCAGAAACCCAAAGAGGGGTCGCTATGAGTTAGGTCTGACTCCACGGCACATAACAACAACAAACATGACTACAGAAGTAGATTGCCCAATCTTCCTTCCAAGGAGTGGCTGGTGGATTTGAACCGCCAGCCTTCTGGTTAGCAGTCAAATGCCTTAGGCACTATGCCATCAGAGCTCCCTTGAGGAGCCTTGAAAACCCTACGGAGCAGTTCCCCTCTGCACACATGAGGTCACCATGAGTGAGAATTGACTTGACAGCAATTACCAACAATATTATTATATATATACCATCATTAGTTATTGGACTAATAAAAACAATTTAGACATTGCAGAGTAAACTTTGTGCCTTTTTTTTTTTTTTAATTGCCACTTTATTCTAATCAAAGAAAAGTATTTTAAGCCATCTATTTTTTCCATCCTTGGCTGCTATTATCTTGACTATAATTGCCTAGTTTCCTTCTGGGTGATCTATTGCGAGTCCTTATCTGGATGTTATTAAAGAATATAAATGCTCCATACAGCACCATAGTCTCACCCAGAGTTTTTCCAGATTCTAGGCTAAAATGAAACAGAACTGGTGGTTGGCTGTTAATTAGCTCAGATTTGCTGTCATAGTGTGTGAGAGACTTCTGTTAGTTGTGCCTGCAATATATGTGGCATTTGAAAAAAATATCTTTGATTGTTTATGGATTGTGGTCCTTGGGCACCAAATAGTGGATGCTGGAATGTATTGCAGAAAAGCTCTAAGAATAAAAGTACATAGTGATTTGTAATACCTGGATCAGACTCTGTTGGATGTACTTATATGTTTACTTTTGAAAGCTTTGGTTTATTATCAACTTATCCAGGAGCCAGTAACATTTTTTCAAAAATGTGGCTCATGGCAAAAACATCAGTAATCTATGCTTGATGCTAAGTTTATGTAGGTGGCGTGCTTTGAACTTTGGGAGTCTTAAGTACTTTGCAGTTATTACCTAGCTTATTGAAGTCGTGTTTCACTATGACTTAAATTTCAATAGTAGCTGTTTTCAATTCACAATCTTAATGTGTTTTATTGTATATCAGTGAATTTATACTTATTCCAAAATATAAACTGTCAGAATTCTCCCTTCCTCCCTCTCTCCCTCCCTCACTCTTTTCCTCCCTCTCTCCCTCCCACCCTCTTTCTCTCCCTCTCTTTCTTCCTTTTTCTTTGTTGTTTTTCTTTTTTTAGGGAGTAATGTTGAGGGAGGTAGGTGGGTGAAGGAGCACCTTCCTCCCCAACAAAAAATTCACTGGAGTAGAGTATGAACATATTTTATGTAATTACAAACATGCAGATCTTTAAATATATTTGGTATCTACTTGTTCAAGTATTTCAGTATTTCTTCATTAGTTTCAAAAAAAAGTTCAAACGTCTTACTTTAGAGAGCTATTCCTGATCATTCCATTTCCTTTCTACCTCATCCTATCCAGTTCCCCTGCAGGTGTCCTTTGCTTCAGACTTACAGAGCTAAGGTTTGTTTCCCTTCTCATTTTTTTTACCTTGGTTGCTGCCTTCCCTCTGATCTTCTTCACCTGTGGAGTACCTGTTCTTTCAAGATTCTGCTCAATTGGTGCAGGAGATCCTGGATAGAGTGGGAGAGTAATGTGGAACAAAACTCAAAATTATAAAAAAGACCAGCTTTGCTGGTCTGATGGAGCCTGGTGAGACCCCCAAGACTATAGCCCCTAGCCACTCTTCAGGTCTGGAACTCACTCCTGTGGCTTCCAGCCAAACAGTTGTTGTTGTTGTTTGCCATCGAGTCGGCCCGACTCATAGCAACCCCTCCTTGGGTTTCCGAGGCAGTATCACTACAGAAGTAGGATTGCCCAACCTTCCTTCCGAGGAATGGCTGGTGGATTTGAACCGCCAGCCTTCTGGTGAGCAGTCAAGTGCTTTAGGCACTAGACAAGCATATAGGGTGGACATTTACATCAGGTACATACACTCCTGGGAGCAATTGATCCTGGGAGAAGAGAAGGGCAGTGTTTGCACAGGGAGACAGCTTGGGGAGTGGGAGTGCAAAGGAGAGAAAGGCACAGGAAAGAGGAGAGAAAATGGGGAGAAAATGGGGGAAGAGAGGTGTTACATTGTGGAGAATGGCACAGGAGTGCAAAGGAGAGAAGGGCACAGGAAAGAGGAGAGAAAACGGGGAGAAAATGGGGGAAGAGAGGTGTTACATTGTGGAGAATGGCAGTCAATGTCATGAGACAAAATGTGTATGAACTGCTGTATGGAAAATGAATTTGCTCTGTAAACTTTTACCCAAATTTCAATTAAAAAAAAAAAAAGATTCTGCTCAGTTTCCCTTATTTTTGGAAATAATGACTGCTGAACCATGACTCTTCTGCCTCAAGTTAATCCCATTTAGGCTTATCTGTGAGCTCTTAATTAAGAGATTTTTCTTACTCTGTGTAGTCACTTGTTTACTTGTCTGTTTCCTTTAGTAGACTAATATCCTCTGAGGTCAGAGGTAATAAATAGTGGCTTTCTTTTAGTCTCAATCTGGCACATAGGCTTTACAGATGAATATTTGTGACTGATTGAGTGAATGACATATATTTATATAGATATATTTATATATATCCATAATTTAATTTGCTTTGATCTTGGTTCTTAAGGTATTTGAGGATATGAGTTATACCATTTTCCTCACAAGAGCTTTTTTAAATTGATTCCTTTCCATATTACAAACTAAAATGTTTATTAAAGATAGGTCTTTGACTTTGGGAAGACAAGAGCCATAATGGCTAGAGAATATAATAATATGGATTTTATACTGTTAGTCAACTAGGTAAAAAACCTAGAATACAATTTATGGGAAATTTGAAAGACCAACGGCTATGATCATGAAATTATGCATTCTAAGTTATCAGTATATATTGTGAACCTGTGACTTTTTTTGGTATACAGAATTCCATTAGGATAATATAGCTGTTTAAAACCTTTTTCCTTATTGGAAAGTATTGGGTTTAGTATTGTTTCTGGATCTTAATTTAACTTAATTCAAGAGGCAAGACAAAGATTAAGCTAAAAGAATATTTACTAATAATAAATTATAGTAAATAATTTAAATATATGTTTGGTGGGCCTGAGGTGTCTTTCTAGTATTTGCATCAATATTCTGCATTTTATACCAAAAAAAGAAATAAAATTCACTGATAATACTTTAAAAATAATGTAAGCTAATTCGATAATAAAGTATAATATTTTCATCTAATCTGAAATTTTCCTTCTTAAATGTACACTTTATATTTACTGTCATATTAATTTGCTGAGACATTTTGTGTAATTATTTCTTTAATGATACAGCAAACTGAGTCAGCGTATTATAGCTGAATCATAGTCCTGGCTGTTCTTTTTATTTGTTGAATGAACTAATGCTGTATTATTAAAATTTCTTGTCCTTCAACTGAGCTTGCAAAAGAAATTTGATTGTTAGATTTTGAACACCCTACGATATTTGTTATGGAAGGTTTTCAGTTATATTTCTGTTTTCAGACTGTGACAGATTAAGAAAACCCATTGTGAAAAAATAGAATGGAGAAAATTACCTGCATCTCACTAGTTGGATATTTGTTCATTCTCAGAGACTGCAGCCGCTTTTTAAAAAATACATTTTTAATATTTATTATTGTTTTAAATTTGGTACTAAATTTTTATAGAATATAAGAGATTACAGCACTTTAGAATATTATTGTCATTTAAGAATGTATTCATTGTTTTTGGTTTCGGGGCGCTGCCTCCAAGAGGTTCATAGCATTTGGTACGTAGTTCACGTATTTCTAGTCTACAGACCTACCCTATAGAGGCAAAGGCTTCATGGTTCAGATATTTGCATTTTCTATTGCTTATAAAGCTCAACAATGGTAATTAATGTTTTTTTTTTTTATTTTTTTTTAAAAAAACTTTCCATTGCCATTACAAACAAAATGGAATGTTTTGAAGACTAGTAATTTGCACCTTTGAAGAGCCACATTATTTTGCTTTTGTCTCACAATATATTATGCTTCACAAGTATACTGTGACAGCCTGAATAGAAAAGGGGGAAGGGGACATTGTCTTCAGCTGGCATGCTGTTATCTGGAGGGAATGTGTTTCTGGACACGAGATTTAGCATTCATTGGTTGTCTGAAGAAAGCTATTTCATCTGAGGATTGGACAAGAAGCTGCGTCAATTTGCTGCCCGTCTCCAAGGCACTGGTGATGCTGCCTTCACAAGCTGGCTAACGTCACGGCTCCATCACCCAGCGGGGTGTGGACTCTCTTTTTCTGTTCTTCTCTATTTAATTCTCTATTTGCTGCCTACTGCATTTCTTAATCTGTCTTCTGCCAAATGCTAACAGCATGATATTTTGCAATCATCTAGGTGAATACAAGAAAGACGAACTCCTAGAAGCTGCTAGGTAAGTGATTCCATTTATTTTAAGTGAGTATAATGCATTTAAGGGAGAAGAGAGGGAGGGCAGGTGGAGGACTATAAAAATTAAAACATGTTATTGTCTTGCTTGGATTTTATGTGATAATGTGAATAAAACCTCATACAAAATCTTTATGTACTTTTTTTTTTACATGATTGGCATTTTTAATGATAAAATCTTTCAATGTGGTGCTGATTATAAGGTTAATTTTATTGGAAACATTTCTTACGGTACCTGCAAACCTTAGTTGCCCAGCTTTTGGAATGATATTGTTGGAGTTCTTAAATGCCAGTCTCTTCATTTTTCTCTGAAAAATTTTCCAGCACAGCTTGAAAGAGGGGCATAAAGTAACTGTTAAAAATTCTCATCCATTTTCTTTTGTTCTTCATCATTTATAATTTAATTGATTAGCTCTTGGTGTTATTTTGTATGTATTTTTCACTCCAGTGTTTTAGATCACTTATCAGTATAAAGTTTGTTTGTAATTAAGAAGATGACTTTACGAAGATAAATAAAGCAAATAATGTAGACAGCTATATTATCCAAGATGTACTACCATATAATGATTAAGAAGAATAAATTAGAAATAAATTAATTCAATTTAATATAGCAAGAGATTAGTTGAGATCCATGTAAAAGGTATTGAAGCAAACCAAGATTATTTGCCACTCTTGTGAAAATATATATTCATAAGAAGCTCTGTAATTTTATAGGAATTGACTTATTACCTTTTTGTAGGAGTGGTAATGAAGAAAAACTAATGGCTTTACTGACTCCTCTAAATGTGAATTGCCATGCAAGTGATGGACGAAAGGTAAGTTATTTAAAATATAATATTCCCTTCCCTAATTTCTTTTTACTTTCCAATTAAATTTTTTAAGGCTGGTGTATATGCCCACACACATGCACATACATGTAACACAAGCGAACAAACATACTCATATATGCGTATATTTTTACTGGCATCTTTTCACTGCAAAGTGAAATGCTGCTATATCTGTTGCTGGCAGTTGTGACATATTCATAGAGCTGGTGAAGCATGGCTCTTAAGTAAGCCTTTTCTTAAATGTCAGACACTGAAAGTTTGTGAAATGTGACTGCAGTTTTGTCTGTGATTAATATTGTAACAGCATATATTATTTTCTGTGTATAATAATGGAAATTTGAAACATTGGTTTATATTGTTTTTATTCATAATTGTTAGGATATTTGCTTTTTTTTTGGCAGAAAAAGATTTGTTTGCTAGATACCAACACTTTCCATTTAAAGCTGAGAGATGTTAATCATTTTTTTAGATGTAACAGCCCTATTTTTTGTTTACTTTTGTTTTTATTGGCTATGTTTTTGTGGTATATTTGAAGACAGTAGGTTAAAGCAAAGAGCAATATTCTGTATGAATATAGATTGTCATAGTGTAAGGTAATATGTAAAATGTATAGCTGGCAGCTTCATTATCTGCTTTGTTTTCTTGTTAGATATAAACTGAAATGTAATCCTTTACAGCCTTTGGTAATTGACTGCAAAGTGTTGGAGTGATTTACCTAATAGACATCAAAAACCAAAGCACTGTCTTTTTGAAAATGACAGTTGGTTTTGAATGTTAGAGAATGACTTTTACATCTAAAAAACTTAAAATATTTTCAAAGATACATTGCAAATATTCAGGAAAATAATCCTGTGCCTAATGTTTCAAGAACAAATTATTTTGAAATTATTTATGGTAAAAATAAATGGCAAATATGATGATGACTGGTACCCACTTAGAAGTAATAAACTATTTTGCTTTTTTATAAATCACTTTTCTGAAAGCAGTAATCTTATAGATTAAAATTACTTCAAGTTTTCCTTGACTGCCTCCTTGCTTTTTTACCATTCTAATGAAATCCATGTAATAGTGGCAAGGAATTGAATCCCTCAGAACATAACGTATGTTATTTGTTATTTTAAATGGCTTGTGTATTATGTCAGATAGCCCAGTAAGTGTTTGTTTTCTTCAGATAATTTGGGGAGACACTTCTTTTTTCATGGAAGATTAAATTATGGATGTCAAGCTATAAACTGCTAAAGATTTACATAGTACTAGTACTGATTTGGGGGAATAGTTTTAAAATAATCGGTCATATTTCCTTTGATTTTGAAGTTGCTTTTGGAATATTAACACATTTGTGTGTACTTTGAGCTCCAGATTCTATTTGGATCCCCTCAATAGATTAAGTGACCTCTACCACTGTGTAAGGAGCTCTGGTGGCGTAGTACCTAAGGCGTTTGACTGCTAACCAGAAGGCTGGTGGTTCGAACCTACCAGCCACTCCTCGGAAAGAAGGTTGGGCAATCTACTTACGTAGTGATACCGCCTCAGAAACCCAAGGAGGGGTCACTATGAGTCGGATCCGAATTGATGGCAGTGCGTGTGTGCATGTGTTTACCACTGTTAGGAAAGGGCCTTCTTACCTGTGGTAAGTGCAGCTATGTTTTTAAAACATAGTTTTCTTAGAGCCCAGCCTACTTCAGTTTTTTGTAACCATTTTAATACCACGGAATTTATGTGAAATTACTATAGCAAGAGTCTGTTTTTATACCAGCCTTATTCTTCCATCCTTATTCATCTAACTTGACAACCCCATTTCTAGTACAATAAATCCTAATAATTAAGTAGCATGAACACTGATACTTAGCAAATTACTCTCTTCTCCCTGCCTCACTCCCTATACAAATAACTGTTTTAGTTTTTTCTTCTTCCTTCATTACTTTAAATGGAACCACTGTATTCCTCATCCAAATTCCTATGGTTCCTTATCTGTACTACTTAACAGAGTTCCTTGATTTGTAGTTATTCATATATATCTTTTTCTTATACTTACTTACCTGTTAGCTCTCATTGTATTTGTACAAATCAAGCCTGGAACTTTGATTGTAGCAGGAGCTTAGGATACAAATAATGTTCCCTGATAAACATAGTTGTATCTTCTGAGTGAGAAAAATTCTTTGCCATTTAGAAAATTAGAAGTATGTTAATGACAGATTTTATATTTGCTGTGTTATTATTGCTAGAATTAATCTTCTTACTTATTTTTGGGTAATTACACCATGAGGGAGAATTATGTATTTTAATGTGTAGAACATTTTTAAGAACATGCCTCAACTACTGTTACAATACTCACGGATTCACAACAGATGAATAATCCAATAATTCCCTAAAATGTGCTTTTTTTTAGAGTTACTGATTTTCTCAAATAAATTAGGCAGAAAAAGAGTATTAAACTTAAGCATTTATGAGGTTTTAGTGCTACATATTTTACATAGAAAATCATTCACAATTGTCATCTGTCTGCAAAATGCAAATATAATTTCATGATTAAAATTTAATAACATTTTCATTTAGATGTTACCCTCGGTTATGTTACAGAATAATTCATATTAAATATACCAGTTGCAGCAAAGTCCTGAACTGATAAGTATTCTGAATGCTAGTAGCGATTGACATAAAATCCCTTAATTATGGCAGTATCTTTTATTTTTTTGATGCTAGTGTATCTTGAAAACGTGTAAGCAAATCTAGCAGATAATATACATGTCTCTTTCTTGGGTATTTATTATTTTTTCAGACCAAATACTTATGTTTAAAATTAGAAAGATTTTTGTATATAGTAAGTTAGGTATATAAAATTATATCTTGAATTTGCATTTAGAACATAGTATAGAATCAAGTACTTTTTAAAGACTTTTTAAAAATGACTGTATCAGTGGGTAACTGAGCCCTTGCCTACCTTTGTTTTTTTAATATGTTCTTGGTTTATAAATTTAAAAAGCCCCTGGAAATGCCAATTTTGTGACATTTTTTGAAAAAGATATGTACCTTACACATTGACTGGTAGGTGGAAAATTTGCCTAGATACGTGGGGGTTTTGCAGTTTAGTCTTCCTTTTTAATGTAATGTGTGGGATTATATAATGACAGTATAAATTTTAATAATCTCTTAATTCTATACTGACTAGATGATTATCTAATTTGATGATAAGTGAATGGTTAATTTTTTTTATTTCTCACAAGACATTTGTTTTTTTAATCTGTGGAATTCTCAAAGTAGTGAAGTATCAATAAGGTTTTAAGTAATTTATGGTACTATATATGAGCTCTGGTAGTGTAATGCCTAAGGCACTTGACTGCTAACCAGAAGGCTGGTGGTTCAAACCCACCAGCCACTCCTTGGAAGGAAAGTTGGGCAATCTACTTCTGTAGTGATACCACCTCAAAAACTCAAGAAGGGGTTGCTATGAGTCAGGTCTCACTGGACAGCACATAACAACAACAACAAAACAACATATTATGCTTTTATTTTACGTAAGTATTAAAATTGGAGTTTGAGTACTCTGGAAATTCCCAGCTTTCTGTTTATTTTCCGAGAAAGCAAAGGCTGGTGTTATTTTGTTTTAAAATGCTATTTTGATACATTGTAGTGATGACCACTTTAGAGATATAGAGCCATAGATATAATTTACTTTTCTTTTAGTTTCTGCTCATTATGATTAGCTATCACATTCCCCATTTCCTTATATCAAATTTCAGGGAAGCACAGCCAGAACCTTACAATAGATTTTTCCTTTTCTAAAATTCTTTCTCAAACTAGACCTGTTTTATTGATCTGTAATATACCTTTATAGTATTTTCTATTGGTATTCGCCATTTTATTAGCTATATACTCTGGTCTTATTTGATATTAAATACAATATGTAGGTACCCTCCAGTTTTTGAACAAATGAAATTCATTTTTACAACAAATGGAAACAAATATTTGAATACATATTAAATTATTCCATCATTTAACCTTTGAGAGTTCTTCTTGGTCCCTCTCTGTTATTTCCTTTTCCTGGCTGCCTTTATCCCATTCTAAAACAAATATCCTAGGATCACCCTGTCCTGATCATAACAAGGAATATTTTGGAGTTGAAGATTATAATGATTCCTAAATAGAAATAATATATATCTTGCATGCATCTACTATGCCTACTATTGCTGTGATTATATGTCACCAGGTATTGAAAATAACTAATATTTTGATTAGTGCTTTATTTTTATGATGTTTTCATTTTAATTTGTAGCACTTCAAGTTTTTTCTGCTCCTCCGATTCATTCAATCCTCAATACCTATCCAGTTTGAGAGAGAAATAAATACATAGTTAATGGTACTGCTTCACAAGGAGCTTAAAATTTGTTAGTTAGAATGTTTAAACCATTATCCAGAACATCAAAGCTAATGCACTAAAAAGATGTTACTCCTTTTGCTGTGATACAGTATAAACTATAGACCTAAGATAAGTTTGTTTTAGTTTTTTAACATTTTATTGTAGTTTCGGTGAAAAGTTACAGAGCAAATTGGTTTTTCATTCAACAATTCATACATAGTTGTTTCATGACATTAATTGCAGTCCCCACAATGTAACAGCAGTCTTTCCACTTCCTCCCTGTGGTTACCATTTCCATTTGTCTTTCTTTACTGTTTGTCCTGCCATCTGAGCTTTATTCTTGGGCACATGTTGCCCTTTTGATCTCCTTCCATGGAATATTCCAAGGAGTGCACACCTTTCTGATGTTAATGTTAATGATGTTGATGTTAATGTTTATTTTGTATACTTGTCTGTTATTTGGCTGAAAGTAGATCCTGTGGGGTGAGTTCATTTCTAAGCTTGAGGGGTGTCTACAGACTATATAGGCCTGGGAATTCCACCAGTCTATCAGTCCAGTACATCTGGTCTATTTTATGATTTTGAACTTTGTTCTCCATTTTCTATTCTCATTTCTTACCAGGACCTTCTA